GTATCTTTCTTTAATTGCTATTCCATTTCTCTATGCCCCTTTATGAAAAGCTCAAAGGAATTTTCTATGTGCTCTCTGTAAGGGTTATTAGCTATTGCTGCATAACAAAACACAACACAATTTTGTGACATAAAACATTTGTTTTTCTAAATCTGCAAGTCAGCAGGGCATTTCTGCTGCTCTTGCTTGAGCTCATTCATGCTTCTCCAGTAAGCTGATAGCTCTGCTGTCTTGTCCATAACGTCCTCATCTACACCAGATACTTGAATAATAAGCAATGTGTGACAGGCCTCTTGAGGTCTATTCTTAGAACTGGTAGAGTGTCACTTTTGCAACTTTCTAGTGGTCAAAGCAAGCCAAGACTCGAGAGGTGGGGAAAAAAATTCCACTTCTTTATGGAAAGAACTGCAAAGAAGTGCAGGTACAGGGAGAACACTGCAATGTTTTTCAAAGAATCTACCACATATTTTCATACTACAGAGAGTAAGACAGGTTCCCCATCATATAGCATGGGTTAAGAAATAGGTTTTATTTAGAAAAGGAATAATTTACAAGACTAAGTTCAGCTAGAGAAGGGAAGGAAACTCTTCATCATAGCCCATTCATTCCATAAAGTCATTCTGGGACCTGGATTAGTCTCCATGTCATAGAGGGTGAATCTGTGTTTTACTGGATGGACACTGTCATTTGCTATTTTAACTTTTGACAGGCAACCTTAAGAAAGAAGTCTTGTAAGTGAAGAAACAAGTAGACAATTCTGTTAGCAATGGATTTGAATTTCAGTTTTTTTGTGGATTTCTAGTTGGGGTTCATAGGATGATAAGAATCCCTGCTGTGAGAAGAAAACTATCATTCTTTTAATGCAGCAAAAGTGCACAAACTGTGCAGGCAACATTCTAGAAGCATATAATACCATTCTGGGAAATCTTACCCCTTGTATGACACTCCTTCCATTCTTTCTTGGCTAGACTCATATTAATTGTCCATGCTCACTTGATGGTCAATCATCAGTGACTTTCCTATGATTATAACTAAAATCCCATGGTTAATTCTCAGTCCTCATCTTAATTAAACTATAAGCATCATTTGACATGACAGATCAATTATTTCTCCATTTAAAACAAAGTAACTTAGATTCTAAGCCACTTCTTTCTCCTGGTACCTTTCTTTGCTAACTGGTTGACTTTTTAATTTTCATATTTTAAATTCAGATTCTGTAAATCTTGGAGAGACTTGGGGTCTCTAATCCAGCCTGTGAATATTTTGTTTACTCCCTATTCCCACTATTTATACTCATTGAGCTTCAAGGCTTTAAATACCTTCCATACTTTTACAGCCCCCACATATATATGTCCAGACCTAACTTTTGATCCAGAATTAAATATTAAATTGACTTTTTGGCAACTCTGCTTGAATATAAAGTAAGCATCTCAAATTTAAAATTCTCAAACAAAACTTCAGATATTCCCCAAAATGCATTTTCTTTCCTATCTCTGTAAATGTCAATTCCACTTATTCCAGTTGCCTGGAGCAATAAACTTGATTCTCAAACCACATACTCAACATATCAGTGAATTCAATTTGTTTAACCTTCAAAACATAATTTGAAACCATTATTTTAATCATTTATACATTAACATGCAGGGCCAGGCCATCCTCATTCTTTGTCTGAGTTATTGCCATCAGCTTTTAACTTAACGCCCTGCTCTTGTCTTTTGACTCCCTGTATTCTGTTTTACACACACAAAGAATAAAATTCAGATCATGCCAATCACTTTTCTGCTCAAAATGACATCTCACTCAATCACTCAGAAAACGTCAACCTTCTCACAATTTATCTCTATCCAATGTAGCCCTCTCACTTCCAAATTAACTTCTGTAGGCATCCACTCCTCTCCATCTTACTCATGGCATTTCAGTTACATTAGCCTCATTGGTACTTTTATAAGCAGGAATATTCCAAACATGTCTCTTTTTCAGAGACTTTACATGCTTATTTCCTCTACCAGAAATGTTCTTCCCCAGGTACCCACATACCTACCCCAAATTCTTCAAGCTTTGCACTTTTTGCAACAACTTTCTATGTTAACTAGAAATCCTCCCTCCCAATTCCAGCACTCCCTGCCCTTTTATGTTGCTTTATTTTTCTTCAAAGCTCTTACCCCCATATAAAATACTGCATATATTTTTAAAATTTTCTTTTTTTTGTTCCTTTGTTAGACTGTAAGCTCCATGTGGACAGAGATTTTAAACTACAGTTGACTTTTGAACAATACAGATTTGAACTGCATGTCCACTTATGCGAGCATTTTTTCAATAAACACATACTACACAATCCAGGGTTGGTTGAATGCATGAAGGTGGAACCACAGACACCAAGGTGTTAAGTTATACTCAGACTTTCAACCTCTGAACTGTTCAAGGGTCAACTGTATTTTGTTCACTGCCAAATCCCAGAGTTACAGTAGATACTCAATATTTTTTAAGGCATGAATGCAAAGAACAACCTGAGAACTTATTGGAAAATTATGTGACACTCCTATCCACAAAAAGGATTCCTTTACATTCTTACTTTCATAGATTTGTTCATTTTGGTGTTATATACTCCTTAGCTTGCTTCACTGTAGCACTGACCTTTCTCATGGCTTCAGCCTTGTATTCCAACTAATTATGAAATGTTTCTACCTACTTATATTGCCTTAAACTCAAACTTTGGGTGTATAACTGAATTCTTCATCTCCTATTTCAAGGAGCTTTGGTAACTATTTTTATGTTATGTCAACACCATTTCCAAATTTTAAAATATTTACTCTCATCTTATTGTATTATTTGATTTTTCTCCCACCTTATACTGAAAGTGTCTTAAGAACAATGCATACCTATTTCCTTTTGACATACTTCAAAATTCTAGGCATACTGACTTAAAAAGAGAAGATACTTAATGTTTATGGAACACACAATATTATAGATAAATTATGAATACCTACTATAGATAGTATATTTGGTTTTGTATGTGCATATAAAAACTAGTGTAACAAAATACTACATTATAAAGGGAACCAATAAATATACAAATATATAATAGAGATAGGAAGGGATTGAAAAAAATCTCAAATGCCTAGTTCAGTGAAATCATGGTAACTTCTCCGTTTTACCCTTTTAATTTGTTATACTATGAAATTTGGCCACAAATGCTAATATAGTCTTTTATGTATCTTGACTGAACAGTGAAGGTGGCTGCTTTTACTCAAACCTGAGTCAGTTCTAAAGCCTCAAAGTGATAGTGGAAGAGCAACCACTTTCAAACTTTCCTTCCTTAAGGCCACAGTAATATTCAACTAAACAGTTGCAACTCCAGTGGCATAAAAGATCAGGCCAGAAGAACATATGAGCCATCAAGAACATACAAGCCAGCTCAAGAACAACATAGCTAAAGAAAGATATGTATTTTCCCCCAGTATCTAGAAGAGAGCTGTCCTAGACTTCTACCACAGGTATCCTTATGGAGAGACAGATACCAAAGCAGAAATACCTCTAAACTTGACTTTGTTTTCCAGTCGCTCATTAAAAAAGCCAAGCATGACAAAATTTAGTCACATGTAGGCACAAACTTTATCTTCTTTCAGAATACTGGTAGCTTCAGTGAATGATACTATTAAACAAATATTCTATTTTACACAGCCAACATAATCAATACATAGCTAGCTACCTCCTCTTTGTGAACAGAGTGAGGCTAGAGTGGAGGGACCAGTGAGCTTCCCATTAATTTGCATTATCAAATAGAGTTGGTTTCATACTAAATTTACTGAATATAAACTCTATTTTTATTATTTTATTCATATGCATTATTTTATTTATCATTATAAATCTATGGAATAGTTATTTTTCCCTACAAAGTGCCATAGCCAGTGCTCCAACTCATGTCTGACAGCCTTTACAATTTTAGCTCTTTACCACTACCACATACATTGAAAGAATATTTGAAAAGTTAGTCAATTATTTTATTCAGTCAATATTTATAATTATTCAAGGTATTTCCATCAGAATGCCATATCTACATATAAAATGTTGTTCTTTAGTAAATTATAAACTTTCAGAGGTCAAAAAGATATGTGGTTTTTTTTTTATTTTAATGACTGCTTTTCTCTAACAGTTAAATATTTGAAAACAATTTGTTCTCCTGAGCAGTTTACTATTCCTTTTCCCAGTCTACAAATTTGATTACCCAATGGATTTTGTTGGCAACTTCTGTTTTTCACAGATGGCATAGCTGCTTTCAAATTATCACAAATTCTTATTTGAGTAGTTCAAATGAATGAGGTATTATTTTAAAGTGCAGAATTTTATTTGGAGCTTAGAAGAAAATGAATGTGTAAATGTGTGTAAATTTATGTCATTAAGTAATTTAACATAGTCTCACAAATTCAATGTTAAGATATATGTTGAAGACATTCAAATCTTTATTACTTCTTTCCACTACCTAGCTTCTAATTATATTTCTAGATGCACACATTGGAGTAGATTTCTAAGATACTCAATTTCAGCAGGTTTAAAATTGATTATTTTGCCTTCCAAGCACACTTTATGTGACTTTTCTCTTTTTGTCATGCTTTTCTCTAACATCTAAAATCAATATATGTGAGAGATTGGCCCGGATAGTAGACCCTGAGTTCATCTCCTCTCACGAGCACCCCAAAATTACAATTCTTTGCAGAACTATCGGTGAAAAAGACCAAAACCTACCAGAAGAGATCTGCAACTAAAGACACAAAGAAGCAAGCATGAGACGAATAGGAAAGGTGGACTCACAATACAATCGAGTCCCATACCCTGGGGTGGGCAACCCACAAACTGGAGAGTAATTATATTGCAGTAATTCTCCCACAGGAGTGAGAGTTATGAGCCTCATGCTAGGCTCCACAGCCCGGGAGTCTGGCACCAGGAAGAGGAGCTCCCAGAGCATTTGGCTGTAAAGCCAGCAGAGGTTAACTACCAGAGTCCCAAAGGACTGGGGGAAAGAGACTTCACTCTTAAAGTGTGTGCACAAAGTCTCACATGCTCTGGAATCCAGAGCAAAAGCAGTAATTTGATAGAAGCCTGAGCCAGATCTACCTGCTGGTCTTAGAAGAGTCTCCCAGGGAGGCAGGAAGCAGCTGAAGCTCAACCTGGAGACAAAGACAATGACAGCAATCATTCTTGGGAGTTTACTCTATCCTGTGGACGCTGGTTCAGGTGGGCACCATTGTAAACTCCTCCATCTAGCTCATTAGCACCCAGACCTGGCCCTACATAAAAGCGTATAGGCACCAGTGCTAGGATGCCTCAGGCCAAACAACTAACTGGGCAAGGACACAGCTCCACCAATCAGCAGGCAGGCTGCCTAAAGACTACACGAGCCCATAGTCACCTCTAGACATGCTTCTAGACACTGCCCTGACCACGAGAGGACCAGGACACAGCTCCACTCACCAGTGGGCAGGCACTGGCCCTGCCCTCCAGGAAGCCTACTCTGGCTTCTGAAACAGCCTCATTCACCAGGAGGCAGATGCCAGATGCAAGAAAATCACAGTCTCACAGCCTGTATATCCAGTTTACATATAGCAGGCCAGACACTGCCCTGGGATCAGTTGGGCCATGGCCCCTCCCATTAGCAAGCCAAGACTAGCTTCAGGACACCCCAGACTACCTATCCAATTGTGTCAGGGATCAGCCCCATCCACCAGCAATCAGACGCCCATTCTGGGATCCCTGGGCCCCGAAGCCAGACTCCAGGAAACAGCTCTGCCTGCCAATAGTCTGACACTAACCCCAGGTCATGGTTTCATCCATCACTGGGTGGGGAACAGCCCCAGAGTCTTCACGACTCTGACTGCACCCATCAGTGAGCAAGTACTAGTCCCAGGCCCACCTGGAGGTCTTCAGTCGGCCGCCTCATGATAAGGCCCTGCCAACCAGCAACAGGCAGCCTCTGCACAAGGCAGGACCTAGCGAACAACCAGACTAGGGGCCAAACAAGCCTACCAGACTACCCACATTTTCAGCCTGCCACAACAGAACAACACACATAGTCCTCATCGGGGGAATCCCTAGAGGATATAGCTTGGGTGCCAAGAGGGGAATGCACTGCTGGGACACATAGGACATCTCCTACAGAGGGTCACTTCTCCAAGGTCAGGAAACATGACTAACCTACCAGATACATAAAAACACAAACAGCAACTTAGGCAAAATGAGGCAGCAGAGGAACATGTTTCAGAGCAAAGAGTAAGATAAAAACTCAAAAGAAAAACTAAATGAAGTGGAGATAGGCAATCTACTTAGAAAGAGTCCAAGGCAATGATTGTAAAGATGATCAAAAAGTCATGAGAAAAATGGATGCACAGAGTGAGAAGTCAGAAGTTTTATAAAAAGAGAAAATATAAAGAACAAAACCAAGATGAAAAGTACAATCGCTTCAATGAAAAATATACTAGAAGAAATTAACAGTAGACTAGATGATTCAGAGGAACGGATCAGTGAGCAGGAAGACAGAGAGCAGTGGAAATCACTGTTGCTGAACAGAAATATAAAAAAGAAAAGAAAACAAATTAGGACAGTTTAAAAGATCTTTGTGACAATATCAAGTAGACTAATATTCACATTATAGGGGTCCAAGAAGGAGAAGAGACAGATAAAGGGGATGAGAACACATTTAAGGACATAATAGCTGAAAACTTCCCTAACATGAATGGAAACCCACATCTAGGAAGCACAGAATCCTATATAGGATTAATTCAAAAAGAAACACACCAAGACATATTGTAATTCAAATGATAAAAGTTAAAAATAAAGAGACAGTATTCAAATCAGCAAGGGAAAAGCAACAAAAACATACAAGGGAACACTCATTAGCCTATCAGCTGATTGTTCAGTCAAACCTCTGCAGGCCAGAAGGGAGTGGCACAATATATTTAAAATCATGAAGGGAAAAATGTATAACCAAGAATACACTACCCAGCAAGGCTCTCATTTAGATTTGGTGGACAGATGAAAAGCTTTACAGACAACCAAATTAAAGAGATTAGTACCAATAAATCAGCTTTACAACAAAATTTAAGTAACTTCTCTAAGCAAAAAAGGAAAGAGCCCAACTAGAAACAAGAAAATTATAAAAAGAAAAAGTTCATCATTAAAGGTAAACATACAGTAAAGGTAGGAAATCATCCAAACACAAAGCTGGTAGGGAGGTTAAAAGACAAAAGTAGTAAAATCATCTGTATCCACAATAAGCAGTTAAGAAATACACAAAGTAATTTGATGTAAAATGCTATCAAAAACAATAATCGTCAAGAGAATATAAATGCAGGGCTTTTAAAGTGCATTAGAAATTAAGAGATCAATGATAAATAGATATAGATATAGATATAGACAGACATATAGATTGTAACCTAAAGCCACATGGTAATCACAAATCAAAAATCTGTAAAAGATAGACAGAAAAAAAAGAAAAAGAATCCAAACATAACTCTCAAGATGTCATGAAATAAGAAAACAAAAGATGAAGAAAAAAGGACCTACAAAACAACTACCAGAACAATTGACAAAATGGCAATAAGAACATACATGTCAATAATTACCTTATATGTAAATGGATGAAATGCTCCAATCAAAAGACAGAGTCACTGAATGGATACAAAATCAAAACCCGTATATATGCTGCCTACAAGAGACTCACTTCAGATCTAAAGATACACACAGACAGAAAGTGAAAGGATAGAAAAGGTATTCCAAGCAAATGGAAATCAAAAGACTCAAAAGCTGGAGTAGCAATACTTACATGAGACAAAACAGACTTTAAAATAAAGACTGTTATAACAGACAAAGAAAGACACTACATAATGATCAAGGGATCAATCCAAGAAGATATAACATCTCTAAATATAAATACACCCAACATAGAAGCACCTAAATATAAAATATATAAAGTAAATATTAATAGACTTGAAAGGAGAAATTGACAGAAACACAGTAATAGTAGTGGACTTTAAAACCCTACTTATGTCAGTAGACAGATCATCCAGACAGAAAATCCATACGGAAAACTATGCTTAACTCATTAATTTCCCACTGTGGATGAGGTGCCTCCAAGGTAGTAGACCTATAACCCAGATTTGGGTGCCATGGTAATCAACAAGTTAAGTGACACCTTAGATCATATGGGCTTAACTGATGTACATAAAGCATTCCATACAAAAGCAGCAGAAAACACATTCAAATAGACATGGAATTTCTCCAGGAGAGATCAAATGCTAGAAAATGAAGTAAATCTCAGCAAATATAAGAAGACTGAAATCCTGTCAACCATCTTCTCTGACCACAATACTATGCAACTGCACAAACACATGGAACCTAAACAATATGCTTCTAAACAACCAATGGATTACTGGAGAAATCAAAGAGGAAATGAAAAAGTACCTAGAGACAAATGCAAATAAAAACACAATGATCCAAAACCAAAACACAGCAAAAGCAATTCTAATAGGAAAGTTTAGAGAGAAGAAAGCTTATATCATGAACAAGAAAAATCTCAAATTAATCTTCTACAAAAAGGAACTAGAGGAAAAACAACAACAACAAAAAATAAAACCGAAAGTTAGAAGGAAAGAAAAGCAGAGGATAAATAAATGAAATAGAGATAAAAAATAGAAAATAATAAAACTAAAAGCTGGTTCTTTAAAAAGATAAACAAAATTGATAAACCTTTAGCCAGACTCATCAAGAAAAAAGGAGAGGGCTGAAATAAATAAAATCTCTAAATGAAAAAGGAGAAGATAACAAGCAACACCACAGAAACACAAAGTATCACAAGAGACTATTGTGAACAACTATATGCCAATTAAAAATAGACAATCTAGAAGAAATGGACAAATTCTAAGAAAAGTAAGATTTCTCAAGACTGTTTCAGGGAGAAAAAAAATATGAACAGACCAATTACCAATAATGACATTGCATCAGAAGTTTAAAAACTCCCCCAAAACAAAAGTTCAGGGCCAGAAGGATTCCATCAAACATTTAGAGAAGAGTTAATAACACCTATCGTTCTCAAACTATTCCAAAAAAAAAAAAACTGCAGAGGAAGGAACACTTCTGAATCCATTCTATAAGGCCAGCATCACCCAGACAACAAAATCAGACAAAGATATCACAAAAAAGAAAAAGAAAATTACAGGCCAGTATCACTGATTGACATAGATGCAAAAATCCTCAAAAAAACATACTAGCAAACAGATTCAAACAATACATTAAAAGGATTACACACCATGATCAAGTGAAGTTTATCCTATGAATGCAAGAATTTTTCAATGTTGACAAATCAATTGATGTGATACATCACATTAACAAGCTGAAGAATAAAAACCGTATGATAATCTCAACACAGAAAAAGCTTTTGATAAAATTCATCATAAACATTTTATCATTTATGACAAAAAAAAATCTCCAGAAAGTGGGTATAGAGGAAACATATCTCATCATAATAAAGGTCATATGTAACAAACCCACAGTTAACATCATACTCGGCAATGAAAATTGAAAGCATTTCTTCTAAGATCAGAAAAAAGACAAGGCTGCCCACTCTCATCACTCTTATTCAGCATAGTATTAGAAGTCCTAGCCATAGCAACCACACAAGAAAAAGAAAGAAAAATTACCCAAATTGGAAAGAAAGGAGTAAAAAATGTCACTGCTTGCAGAAGACATGATACTATATATAGAAAATCCTAAAAATGTCACCAGAAAACTTCCAGAGCTTATCAATGAATTTGGTAAAGTTGCTAGATACAATATTACTGTACAGAAATCTGTTGCACTTCTGTATACGAACAATGAAGTATCAGCAAGAGAAATTAAGGGAACAATTCCATTTACCATTACATCAAAAAGAATAAAATACCTAGGAATAAACCTACCTAAGGAGGCAAAAACCTGTACTCCAAAAACTAAGACACTGATAAAAGTAATTGAAGATGACACAGATGGAAAGATATAACACGTTCCTGGATTGGAAGAATTAACAATGTTAAAATGAACATACTATTGAAGGCAATCTACAGATTCAATCAAATTCCTATCAAAATACCAGTGGTATTTTTCACAGAACTACAACAATTAATTCTAAAATCTGTATGGAAGCACAAAAGACCCCAAATAGCCAAAATATCTTGAGAAAGAAGAATGGAGCTGGAAGAATCACATTCCTTGACTTCAAACTATTCTACAATACAGTAATAAAACAGTATTGTCCTGGCACAAAAACAGACAATAGATCAATAAAACAGAATAGAGAGCCCAGAAATAAACCTATGCATGTATGGTCAATTAAACCTGCAACAAAGGAGGCAAGAATATACAATGGAGAAAAGGCAGTCTCTTAATTAAGTGGTGTTGGAAAACCCTGTAATAAATGAAATTAGAACATTCTTTAACACCATAGACAAAAATAAACTAAAAATGGATTAAAGGCCTAAATGTATGGCCAGAAACCATTAAATCCTAGAGGAAAACATAGGCAAAATACTCTCTAACATAAAGAGCAGTGGTATTTTTTTGGATCCATCTCCTAAAGCAAAGGAAATAAAAGCAAAAATAAATAAATGGGACCTAATCAAGCCTAAAAGCTTTTGCGTAGCAAAGGAAATCATCTACAAAATTAAAAGACAACCTACTGAATGGGAAATTTCTTTTGCAAATGATAAGACCAATATAGGGTTAATATCCAAAATATATAAAGAGTTCATACAACTCAACTTCAAAAAAAAAAACCCAATTAGAAATGAGCAAAAAAATCTCATTTTCCAAAGAGGAAATGCAGATGACTAATATGCACACGAAATGATGCTCAGCATTGCTAATCATCAGGAAAATGCAAATCAAAACCTCAATGAGATTTCACCCCACACTTGCAGAATGGCTATCACCTAAAAGAACAAAAATAGCAAATTTGGGGAGGATGTGAAGAAAAGGGAACCCTAATACACTGCTGATTGGAATGTACGTTGGTGCATCCACTGTGGAAAACAGTATGGAGGTTTCTCAAAAAATTGACAAAACAAAAAACAAAAATGAAAAATAGGAGTACCTTAAGATTCAGCAATTCCACTCTTGGGTATATATCCAAAATAAAAAGAAAAACACCAATTCAAAAATATACACCATCCCAATGTAGCATTATTTACAATTGCCAAGATATGGAAGAGAAAGTGTGTGTGTGCGTGTGTGTGTATACACACACATATCCATACACACACACTGGAATAATACTTAACCTCAAATTTTTTTTCCCCATTTGCAGCAACATGGATGGACTTGGAGGGCGTTGTGCTCGGTGAAATAAGTCAGAGAAAGGCAAATACTATATGGTATCAATTACGTATGGATTCTAAAAAATACAACGAACATAATAACAAAATACAGTGAACATAACAAAAAGGAAGCAGACTCACAGATACAGAGAACAAACTAGGGGTTAGCAGTGTGGAGAGGGAATGAGCCACATACATATGGGCAGGGGACTCAGAAGTACAGACTATGATGTATATAAAAGTTATGAAGATATATTGTACAACACAGGGAATAAAGCCAGCATTTTATAATAACTACAAATGAAGCAAAACCTTTAAAAATTATGAAACCCTATACAGTACATCTGTAACTTACATAATATTGTACACCAACTATCCTTCAGTAAATAAATTAATAAATAAGTGGTTATCCGAATCAAACTTCTAGTTTTTACTGTATTTTACAGTCAGTCAACCCTAAGAACTCTTAGTTTTCAAAGTACACTCTGCTTATTTTTTTAATTTCTGATTTACATTAACCTGTTGATTGGTTTTCCAATAAGCAGATTCAAAATGATGACACATCAAAATGTATGATATTATTATGGAGATAATGAGAGATAAAAATAAGAAATGTAATATTTTAAACTACTGCACCTTCTCCCAACTTGAACTCACTTACTCTATTCTCTTGCCAACCCCTTATAATCCAGCTTGCCCATAGCCAGCAGGTAAACCCTTCTGAAATAGCAACACATTATGAAAACTCTGTGTAAAACATTTTAGTGACACCCAATTGCCTATATTTAAAAAATAGAAATTCCTTGTTGATGTTCTGCCCAATCTCCTTTTCTGTTTTAGAAACACAATATCCCATCACCCTCCTAGATATAACCTATCCTACAACAAAATGAATGTTTTCTGTTTCTCTGGACATTTCTTCGGCTTACCAGCTCTAATTAACAACAGCGTTTTCACTTAAAATATTGTCCCTCTCAAAATGCCACCCATCCTCAGAAACCCAACACGAATCATGTGCTCTATGAAGAGATGATCTCTCTCTTCCCAGAACCCCGCAGTACTTAGCAGTAACAGCAGTCTTATAGTATAAAATATGCTGCCTTATGCTACAGTAATTTTTTAATACATCTTCTGCATTATTTTACTATAAGCTCATTATAAAATGCTTTATAGACTTTCATACCCTTCACAGCACCCAAGAGAGAAAATTACACATAGTAGGTGTAGGCATAATAATATTTAATAAATTTATGAATGTGTGCATTCTAAGTTTGTGATGCAGGTTAAAACATATAGCCCTTCGTTGAAAAATTAATCTCAGTTCTGCATATGCTCACTATCCAACATTAAATTATGTCAAGCAATGATTCCTGCAAAATGATCCTTAATGAGGATCAGCCTGCAGTAAAATTCTACACAAAACTGTTAATGACCTTACAAGCCTGTGTATTAGAAAAGAAAAATGATCCAATAACTTCACTAACTACAACCTGACATTTGAAGTGGGAGGTGCAAGCCATAATGGCTACAGTCTTACTAAGAAAATCTCTTATCTTCACAAAAGCAGAAATCCACGAGAGAGGCAGTGGTCAAGAATTAAAGCTGCTCAGCAGCCTGCAAGGTTGGTAGGAATCTAGGTGCTAATCACCTAATGCAACTAGATGGAGATAATTTCTTCAATGCCTTGGGTGAGAGCTAAACTAGATGATAAATCAAAGAGGAAAAGAAAATATATTTTGCATCAGTGGATGGTACTGGTCAGATTCTGAAAAAAAAATGTATCTCTCCCTTAATTTGTCTGTGCATCATTGAGGGAGAATTGGAGAAAAAAATATGTAATCTGTTGTAATGAAATATCCGGTGATTGTACGAACATACAGTGACAAACTAATGAGTAGATATCAAAAAATAATAAACTAAGGCAGAACAGGAGGGGGATTTACCATGAAGAAAAGCTATCCAGATACTCAGTTGTAATTGTAACATCCATGGCCAAACAGGAAGTATGTACATAACTAATATTTGACACATTTCTTCACAATTTGTGCTAGTTTTTCATTAGTTTGTTTTTTTAATTGGGGGGGGTTGCTTCAAATACACACAAATTGTGTCGTAAGGATGTATTTAATAAGACACTGGCCTTGAGAAGGGACCATGGGCATAAATGCAATCATGTATTTGAAAGTACAGTGAGTATAACTTAGAGATCTCTGATGTGGGGTCTAGCCAGGCACTACACCCCATGTATCAGAAGATATTCACACTAACTCTTTTGTCTTAGTTTTGTTATCTACAGGAAAAAAACAAAATTAGTAAAATCTGTCCTACCTCATAAAAATATATGAAGGATTTCAGCTGAGAAGCTAAGTCACTGGTGCTGATAGGGAACTCACAAGGAAGCCACGAGGGAAAGGCTATCTGTGTACCTGCTGGATGCATAGGTAGCTTGAGAGCTTGAGATCTGTAAAAAATAGAAGTTAGGGAGTCAACAAGAACAATGTGGTAAAGAATCTCTTTCTAACTCCTGTTCCATATTTAGTTTTTCCTGCTCAAATCTCAGGTTTAGCTAAAGGGTACATGGAATGTGCTGTGCTACACTGGGAAACTGCTCTGTAGAGATCTTGGAGGACACTCTTCAGAATTGTCTGATCACGATCCTGCGGAAGCTATTTTACAACTCTGTCAATGTCAGGTCACAGAAATGCAAAATAATTCTTATTTATAGGCATGCAAATTATGTCCTATCCTGTGTAAGTTCAATGACATCCCCTTCTCTCCCACAACTTCCCTCTGTCATCCTGAAAAATACTATTTGGCTTCATGTCCCCATTTATTTCAATATTCTTAATCTATAAATGTATATGTCTCTGAGATTCTTTTTCAATCATGTAGAAATAAACAACAACTCCAAACAAGAAAAAACACAGAGTTTTTTTAAATTCAAAGTTTGCTAGAGCAAAGGAGGCAGCCTAACATGATTTGCATTTGGCAGAGGTTCAAGGGTGAGCCAAGGATTCAGGGAGCTTTGGGGTCAAAAAAGAAAGATTTCAGGGCTGCTCTGAACGGAGGTTGTTGGTAGGGAAACTGGAATTGAACTAACTTAAAGTGGGTCATCTTATGTGGTAAGTTTGGGTAACATATCTGACTTCTTCAGATGGATCCTGATTTGGAAGTGGGAGCAGTTGTTGACCAAGTACTGGCCGTTCTGCAGTTGTGTTTTGGCTTCCCAGGCTGGTTGCTGCATTTTGGCAGCCTATTTGGTCTAGTTATTGCTTGCTTCTGTATTCAGTCTCTCAGTATCCCCTTTTGGTCATTCTCTCTTTTAAGAGGGGATAACTAATTCAAGTAAGGTACAGAGATTTCCCATTTCTCCTTGCCCTACACATGCACAACCTTCCCTGTTATATACATAGGTCACCAGAAAAGCACGTTTTTTTACCAAGGATAAATTTACATTAATATATCATGATCACCCAAACTCTATAGTTAACCTTAGAGTTCACGCATGGCAGTGTACATTCTATGGGTTTGGGGTAAGGTATAAAGACAAATATCTATCACTATAACAGCATGCAGGTTATTTTCACTGCCTTAAAAATCCTTGCTCTGCCTATTTGTCCCTCCTCCCACCTTTACCACTGGCAACCACTGATCTTATGTCTCTGCTATTTTGCCGTTTCCAGAATGTCATATAATTGGAATCATACAACATGTAGCCTTTTCAGATTGGCGTTTTCACTTAGTAATATACATTTAAGGTTCCTCCATGTCTTTTTATGGCTTGACAGCTCAAGTGTTTTTAGTGCTGACTAATATTCCATTGTCTGGATGCATCACTATTTATTTACTCATTCACCTACTGAAGGACATCTTGATTGATTCCAATTTTTGGCAATTATGAATTAAACTTCTATAAACATATGTGTGCATATTTTTATGCAGACGTAAGTTTTTAACCCTTTTGTGTAAATATCAAGGAGCATGACTGCAGGATAAGATGATAAGAGCATAATTCTTAGTTTTGTAAGAAACCAACAAACTGTCTTTCAAAGTGACTCAGTCATTTTGTATTCCCACTGTCAATGTATGACTGTTTCTGTTGCTCCACTTCCTCACTGGCATTTGGTGTATTCAGTCTTTCAAATTCTGGCTGTTCTACTAAGCGTGTAGTAGTATCTGTTTTTAATTTGCATGTCTCTGGTGACATATTATGTGGAACATATTCTATGTTCATGGGTAGGAGAACTAAATATTGTCAATTTATAAGTTATTCCCAACTGGATCTATCCATTCAATGTAATCCCACTCTAAATACCAGCAAGGTATTTCATGGATATCAGAGCACTCATCCTAAAGTTTTTATAGTGTGGCAACAGACACAAAAAAGGCAACACAATTTTGAAGGAGAAAAATTGGGAGGACTGATGCTAGCCAACTTCAAGACTTATTATGAAACCATGGTAATCAAGACAGTGTGGTATTGATGAAAAGATAGACAAATACATGAATGAAGCAGAATATAGAGCCCTGAAACAGACCTCCATAAATACAGTCAACTGATATTTGATGAAGGAGCAAAATCAATATAATGAAGCAAAGAGAATCTCTTAAACAAATGGTACTGGAGCAACTGGACATACACATGAAACAATTGACTCGAGACACAGGTCTTATACATGTCACAAAAATTACCTTGAAATGGATAATAGACCTAAATGTAAAATGCAAAACTATGAATCTCATAGGAGAAAACCTAGAGGTCATTAAGCATGGTGCTGCCTCTTTAGGTGCAACATCAAAGACACAATCCATGAAAGAAATAACTTGTAAGCTTAACTCCATTAACATCAAAAACTTCGCTCTGTGAAACGCATTATCAAGTGAATAGAAAGGGACTTCAATGAACCCCTGAAGTATGATCATCTAGGTATAATATTTTCCTCCCCAAGTGAAGGCACAGTTGTCTTGGAGTGTTTGTTACCTCCAAAATTTTATGCACATTCATATATTCTTTTTTCCTAGAATGTACTCCTCCTTCTCCTACACAAAGCAATCAATTTCTACTCAAAATATTATTTTAAGAATAAAGCTATTCTGATCTCCCATCCCTTATGAAATTAATCAAGCTCATATTTGTATATTTATTTTGTAAATACAAATTTCATGATAACCAACATTTCATGGAAAGTTTTCTTTTTCATATCTGTCTGTGAGATCACCTTAAAGGGCTGGAGTTTGAGTCTCTCAGTAACTTCCAGCTTGAGGAACATGACAGAAATTTAGTAACTGAAGACAGAAGGAAAAAATTAGGTAGAAACTCTTGTTACTGGTACTCTACATTATAGCATTAATTAAATTAATAGTACAGGGTATTTTCCTAAACACTGGCTAAAATAGCTGCAATAACAAAATAAAAATAAATTCTGTCAAAGAAAGGGGCTCAAGAACCAAAGGAAATAATGAAGATAGAAGGTGAGACATGAGTTTTGAAAAGGAAACTGAAATGATAAAATAAAAAGATAAAAGCAAATCAAAAAGACAAAAACAAAAGGTTTATTATGCTTAATCGTTTTTCTAATATCCTAACCTTCTTATAAAATGAAAAAGGCATCTGGCTATCTTCCCTATCATATTGACTAAAGAACATTCCCTCTTCTGTATTCATATATCCACCAAGATTATCTATCACCCATGAGTCAAAAGGACTTTCAATATATATTTTGCATCGTTCTCGTGGGGCAATCCACCCAAGCAATAGAAACAAAAGCAAAAATAAACAAATGGAACCTAAACTTACAAGCTTTTGCACAGCAAAGGAAACCATAAGCAAAACAAAAAGACAACCTATGGAATGGAAGAAAATATCTGCAAAAGATGAGACTGACAAAGGCTTGATTTCCATAATATATAAACAGCTCATACAACTTAATAAGAAAAAGACAAATTAGAAAAAGGAAAAAAAAAGAAAAAACAAATAACCCAATCCAAAAATGGGCAGAAGACCTAAGCAAGCAATTCTCCAATGAAGACATACAAATGGCCAATAGGAACGTGAGAAAATGCTCAGTATCACTAATTATCAGAGAAATGCAAATCAAAACTACAATGAGGTATCACCTCACACAAGTCAGAATGGCCATCATTAGAAAGTCCACAAACAATAAATGCTGGAGAGGGTGTGGAGAAAAGGGAATTCTCCTACACTGTTGGTGGGAATGTAGTTTGGTGCAGCCATTATGGAAAACAGTATGGAGATTCCTCAAAAGACTAAAAAGAGACTTACCATATGATCCAGAAATCCCACTCCTGGGCATATATCCAGAGGGAACCTTAATTCAAAAAATACATGCACCCCAGTGTTCACAGCAGCACTATATGCAATAGCCAAGACATGGAAGCAATCCAAATGTCCATCGACAGATGACTGGATAAAGAAGTTGTGGAATATTTATACAATGGAATAATACTCAGCCATAAACAAGAATAAAATAGTGCCATTTGCAGCAACATAGATGGACCTGGAGAATGTCATTCTAAGTGAAGTAAGCCAGCAAGAGAAAGAAAAATACCATTTGATATCACTTCTATGTGGAA